CCGTCTCTGCTGTTTCTCACAGTAACTCTCTGGGAATGGTGCTACCAGAACCACATATTCCCAGTAGCAGTTCATCTATCCACGGAGGAGAATTTCCTGGCAGACCAACTCAGCCGCCGTCTGGACCAGATGCACGAATGGGAGTTGGACATGTCGGTGTTCCTTCAACTCTGTCGACGCTGGGGCAAACCTCTTGTAGATCTCTTTGCCACGCACCACAATGCGAAATGTCTACACTACGCATCCAGAGCGGGCTTAGGCCGCGACTCACTGGGAGATGCCTTCATGCTATCTTGGAGGCAGGGCCTGCTTTACGCCTTCCCTCCGTTCCCGTTAATACAGAAAACTTTAGTACAACTCTGCCATCAGTCAGCAGAAGCCATACTGGTAACTCCCTTCTGGCCTCGGCAGCCTTGGTTTCCAACGTTGGTGGAAATGGCAGTGGACTCAGTGCGCCTCCCCAACTTTCCGGCGCTCATCACACAGGATGCGGGAACAGTGTTTCATCCCGATCTCCACACTCTCCGCCTCACAGCATGGAGGATATCCTGCAGATCAAGGAAATCCTAGATAAATCCAAAAAGGCATCTACTTCCACTTTATATGCCTATAAATGGAAGAGCTTTATCAAATTCACTGAATCCAAGGGTTTATCAGCTGTTCCAGCTTCGCTTTCTACAGCGCTTCAGTTCCTTCGTTACTTGTTTGACCTCAAGCTGTCTGTTGCCACCTTAAGGGTTTACCTCACCGCAATTGTATCCTTTCAACCCAGGGACTCACCTTCTTCACGCCTTTTCTCTCATTCCACAGTCAAGGCTTTCCTCAAAGGACTCACTCATCTTAGACCACCTCTCAAACCATTGATACCCCAGTGGTCTTTGAATTTGGTTCTCAAAGAACTCATGTGTCCTCCCTTTGAACCTCTAGCTACATGTTCTCTAAAATTACTGTCTCTGAAAGTTTTATTTCTTGTAACAATTACTTCTGCCCGTCGTGCTAGTGAACTGGCTGCATTGCGAGCTGATCAACCTTTCCTACAATTCTTCAATGACAAGGTTATTCTTCACACAGATGTGTCCTTCCTTCCGAAGGTCGTCTCAGAGTTTCATCTGAATCAACCATTGGTTCTACCCACCTTTTTCTCAAAACCCACCAACGAAACAGAACGCATGCTCCATTCTCTGGATGTCAGGAGGGCACTCTCCTTTTACGTGGCACGTACCAAGGAATTCAGATTGTCTCCTAAGCTTTTCCTATGCTATTTTGGACACAAAAAAGGTTTACCAGCCTCCTCTTCATCTATCTCTCGCTGGCTGGTTTCAGCAATATCCTTAGCATACGAGTTACAACACAAGTCTCCTCCTGAAGGTCTGCGTGCCCACTCCACCAGGGCAGTGGCCTCCTCTACAGCACTTCTGTGTGGAGTTGATCTTCCTGATATATGCAGAACTGCTACGTGGTCAAGTGTCTCCACATTCATCTCCCACTATAGACTGGACACGAGAGCGAAAAGGGAGACAAGGTTTGGGAGAGCTGTCCTTGCATCTGCCCTCCAGTGACGTCCCACCAACCGGTAAGCCAGCTTGTGAATCACCCCTTATTGTGTGCATTCACAGAAGACCACGCAGAAGAAAGACAGGTTACTTACCTGTAACCATGGTTCTTCCAGTGGTCATTCTGTGAATTCACACAAACCCGCCCGTCCTCCTTTTCGCTCCTGTAAAAGTGTCTTACAATGTTTGGAAGCCGTTTTAAATGGTTGCAATGGTTAGCCCACCTCCTGAAACCTATGCAAACTGATTTTGGTGTTGTTCTGACACTTCGTTAATTTATGGTAATTTTTTGTTTTCCCCCCTCATTGAACTCCATGCATTTCAATGAGGGGGAAAAACAAAAAATTACCATAAATTAACAACGTGTCAGAACAACACCAAAATCAGTTTGCATAGGTTTCAGGAGGTGGGCTAACCATTGCAACCATTTAAAACGGCTTCCAAACATTGTAAGACACTTTTACAGGAACAAAAAAGAGACATCATTGTGTGAAAATCCCCCATAGGAAACATCGCTGTGTGAGGCGGCAAATTTAACAGAAAAAGGCATCGTTGTGTGAATTCATCGTTGTGTGAGGCACCCGTTGTGCGAGGCACCACTGTAGTTACGTTACACCTACTTTTGTGGATGCAGTGCAGTAGAATCTACACATAAAAAATCCACAGAATTTTGGAAAGTTAGAGCAATGACTAGGTATTCTTTTAAGTACAGTATACAGTGGGGTCTTGACTTGAGAACTTAATCCGTATTGGAAGGCGGTTCTCAAGTCAAAAAGTCTGTAAGCCAAGCCGTCTGTAAGTCAAGGGTCCACTGTATTCACTCCTGTGAAGCCAGGTCCAGGAGTTGTGCTACATAGTCATCAGTATAATGTGGCAAAGTAGTATTTCCAGCATTTCACTTAGCAACTACAGCCGCACAGTGTATCCAAGCTGCACACATTTTATTAGAAGTCATTGGGCTGGAATGCAACAAAGTACCAAATGAACAAAAAGAAAATGCACAGGTTGTGGCTTATATGAGATTGATTCTTTGACATTTTTCCAAAACCACAAATTAGTTTACAGATTTAATAATATTTGTAATTGTAGTTCATAACTGTCTTTAGTAGCAGAGTTATCTAAACAGTTAGATTTATCCAGTATGGAAGGAACCAGTGAACTGCAGGCTAAATCGCAGAAGCCTCTGTGCTGCTGGGTCAGAAGACCAGCAGTCATAAGATCGAATCCATGTGACAGAGTGAGCTCCTTTCGCTTGTCCCAGCTCCTCGCCAACCTAGCAGTTCGAAAGCATGCAAATGCAAGTAGATAAATAGGTACCACCTTGTTGGGAAGGTAAAATGTCGTTCCCTAGTCACACTGGCCACGTGACAACGGAAACTGTCTTCGGACAACTCTCTTTAGCCCGCAATTCACTGGCTCTACAGCTTGAAAATGGGATGAGCACCGCCCCGTAGAATCAGACACAACTGGACTAAGAATATCAAGGGGAACCTTTACCTTTAAGACGTTGTATTGGATAGATCTAAGTCTAAGATAAAGTGTGGAGGAAACTGCTGAATTAGAAGTCTTTTCTCTGCATTTTGTAATATGGTGTGCTGTATTCTGATTCTGTAAGCTAGATATAGGTAGTCACTGTAATCAGGTCTGTTTTTGCATGAGGTCAGTTGTCCTTTACTCTCTGGAGATATAGATGCCTTCAAAAATAAGGTATAAATCAAAAGCAAACAGTAAGAAATCTGTATTTGTAGCAATTAGCAAAGTGGGATTGGGGATTCTTCAGATACGTATATTGCCCTCCCTCCAAATGTAGTGCTTCCAGGTGCTGGGCAAAAGTGACAGTAGAAAAGAGGGAAAGTTCTTGTTCAGTACATCTCCCCCCCCCATCGTATACATATCTAAGAAACATTACTCGATTCGAAGGGATCTGTGGTGAGACTCAGACTAATGTGCATGTGTCTCAGAGTAGCCTTTTGAAATAATTTGATTTGGTTCTGAAGAAACATAGTGTTTAGATGTTTGGGTTAGATTTGGAGATTTAGAGTTCATTCAGATGGCACATACCATGTTTCCTGGAAAATAAGACAGGATCTTATATTAATTTTTGCTCCAAAAGTACATTAGGACTTATTTTCAGGGGATGTTTTATTTTGTTCACGCACAACAATCTACATTTATTTAAATACAGTCCTTGCTGCACAATGGTGGAAGGTGGGGTTTCACTTAACTGGGGCTTATTTTAGGGGTAGGGCTTATATTACGAGCATCCTGAAAAATCATACGAGGGCTCATTTTCAGGTTAGGTCTTATTTTGGGGGAAACGGGTTATGTATCCAATGATGTGCTGATAACATGTTTTTTTTCTCTTGCCCTGATTATGTAAGGCTTAACTGTTGGCAGTCCTAGTCCTGTGACAGAGTGACAAAAACACTGGTTTTCATATTTTTAGAAAAGCCACCTCCTGTAGCTTTAGTGTTGCTTTGTAGTGAGTGAAATTTGGATGGCAAGAGTGTCTTGCACTGGAAACTTTACATGTTAGTACTAATTCACTAACAGGCAAGCAAAACAAAAATCTAGCACAAAATATAATTTTTTACAGGTGTTAAAGAGCTTCTTCACAATTTTTGAAAGAGTTGTTTTGAAAGACAACTGTTTCCTGAAGTAGATTAGCATTGGGGGTAAGAGTCTGCTGAAAAGGGCTCAGAATGGAAGCATTTAATGATAGAACTAATTTACTTCTTAACAAAAAGTCTAGCACAGGAGACCTTAAACTTTTATTTTTGGTTGCCCAAATGAATTGATTCACCAGAATCAGAGTTGCAACATAAACTCTGAACAGTTCCTCAAAGTGTTTTGAAGTTTAAGATGTAAAGGATCTTTTCTTTCATGTTCCTTGAAGGCAGCTTAAAATCTAATTGGAAATCTTGGAGTTCCCTTAAGAGTAGAGTCTGTCTTCATGAGTAACCTGGGTGTCATGGGACCTAAAATGGATCTTTTTTTGCTTTGTTGTTTTCTAATTGTGACCCATAACAGTCTTCATCCTCAGCGCCACCCCTGTTCTAACCCTAGTGGAACACTCTCTGGGCCTCTCACAATGATTATTGCTTTGGCAGTGAACATTTCACATTCTGGAAAGGATACTGTCTTCTTTATCCTGCTGTGGGACTGAATTCTTGGCCAAACAGCTAACTCCAACTTGGGTCAGCTATTTTCAAGGGAACAAATTGTTCTAGTAGTAATATTCAAAATAGTAGTGCCTAGTTCTTCCCTCTCTTTTTACATTAAGTTTCCATGTAATCCTATCCCAATAGCTGTAGTAAGCTCTTCCTGTCCTAAACTTGATTTGACTTGGAAAGAGCATATATTAAAACTGTGATTAACTAAATGTGTTTCAAAAATATTTAACATAAAAAAACTTAAAGCCTCTTGTTTTGATTCCTAAATTGATAGATGTGACACGCCTGTGGATGCCCAGCGCTCGTCTGGCAGTGAGGTTGTCTGCCAGAATTCAGGTCCAGAAAAAGAAACAGTAAATGGAACACAAATTCAGGGACAAACCAAGCAAGAGAAAAATGAGGTAATGGTTTTTGTTTTTTTTCCTTCCAACTATGCTCTTATTTAGGTAGCTTAAAACAACAGAATGTTTGTTATAATGGGAACTCCTAATTTTGAAGCTTATTTTTCTGCAGTAGATGTGTTTTCTCTTCAGTATATCCTGCATCCAGTTCTTCATGCTTCTAGAAACAAAGGAGTATTTATCTTTTTGTATGGAAGAATTTAATATTGTCTTTTAACTATATACTGTAGTCTCTTTCTCATACAACTCTATATAGTTGTAATATGGATCTGTGAGGGCCAAATATATTTATACAGGTACTACAATTATATTTCAGCATACAATTCCAATATTTATAAGAAATGATGTTTGGGGTTTTAAATGTGTTTACCTATACACCACCACTCACTGTTAATCAAGGTTTAAACATGGGACAGTGGTAGCATAGAGCAGCCAAGGGTAAGACAATAATGCTACAGTGGGGGAAAATGGGTGCATTTTCTAATGGGTTGAATCCAAAGGTAAACTAGTAGAAGAGAGCTTTCTCATACTTTCATGTCATTGCAATCTTTTGTGCCTGCAATAAAAAGCCTTTCTTGAGAGTTTGGGGATTACAGTGAGAAGATGGACAAGGAAAAATGTGTCCCTAACTTTTTTCAGTTTCTCGTCTCCTGTGCAGCCTACCTAGCAAGCCCTACTGTTTTGAAGGATCCCTTGATCCCCAGGAAGGGATTCAAGAGTCTACAATGGAAAAGACAAGAGGGGAAGGAAGCCCAAACTCTAGAATCCTATTCAGACTACTGTAGAGCTTGCACATGAGTAGGGCCCATTTCCTTTTTGAAAACAGCACTGAAACTATGAAGAACATGAAAATGGATAGGTCAGAACTAGGTGCCTTTCTTTGATGTTTATAACATGTGAATAGGGCTTACATCTTCAACTGAATTCCAGCAAAGTGATTTTTCCTCTATAAACCTGAAATTGCATATTTCAGTATCTGCACTATCTAGCAAGACATTTTTAAGACTACATTCCAGTGAATAGGAGCGGCTCCCAATATTGTACATGTGCACAAGGTCGAACTCTACAGTCCATTTCTTAATGGGATTACAATATGGGAACATTCCCTTTTGACCACTAAAACCAGTGTTTATACAAGTGGGAGAGAGAAGTAGTGGTAACTTGGTGTCAAGTATTGGTGTTTTGTTGCTTTTTAAATTCCCAGCTGAGGCAGAAAATGGTGAAAAGGAGTGTTCTCTTTCATGTTTTTTGACTTCAGTTGCCAGAATTCTCCAATAATTCCATGAATTGCAATCAAGAAACCCAAATCAGCATGCTTTTAGTTTTCAACCCATCCACCCTAAGAACGGCCTTGGGTTGTTCCAGGCTTCCTGTTACCTCTTGCTTCCTGTTGTTAATTCAGTTTTTAAAAGCTGTTGCAGTGCTTCCTGGGAGTCGGTTATTTGAGAAGCACATCAGCAACACAAGATAACAGGAAGCAAGCTTAGGGTTGCTGATGCTGCATGTAAAAATACTTGAAAACCTTTCTTTATTGTGGGAGCAAAACCTACAGTTGTGCTGATTTGGTTTTCTGTACTGCAATTCCCAGAATGCTTGGAAATGCTACTGGGTCCAAAGTAAAAATGAGCATATGTGAGGACCCTGTGAAGGGTGTGTTCTTTCATGTTTTTGAACTGCAGTTCCCAGAATTCTAGGATAATTTTACTTTTGCCAAAGTAGCATCTCCAAGAATTCTAGAAATTGCAGCAGAAATCAACAGCCCTAGTGAGGAATTCTCGTAATGTCTCAGTCTTACAAGCTCCAGTATTCTAGCTTTGTGTGATCATCCCATTCCTGCATTCCCCTCTGCCAGAAAGCTGTATGAGCCTTCACAGGTTCCTAAGCTGATCTATAGGTGTTCACTTTCACTTTTGCTCCAGTAGCATCTGAGGAATAAACATTTGCTGGTGAACAATTAACTTTAGCAAAGTATTAATTAAATTATGGATAAAGGGAGTGGTCTTGGAAATTATTGAAGATACCCTGAGTGTTTGTAAAAGGGTAGAAAGAGATAGAGCAAACACACCTACTTTATAACACCCAGTCAGCTCCCTGCCAAAGAATATACCAGAGGGAATATGCCAAAGGGAATATACTGGAGTGGATAATCTGGGAAAGGATATAATACAACATCACTGAAATCCTATGGAGTAGCTTTGTTGTTGTTGTTTAGTTATTTAGTCATGTCCAACTTTTCGTGACCCCATGGACCAGAGCACACCAGGCCCTCCTATCTTCCACTGCCTCCTGGAGTTGTGTCAAATTCATGTTGGTTACTTCGCAGACACTGTCCAGCCATCTCATCCTCGGTCGTCCCCTTCTCTTCTTGCCTTCACACTTTCCTAACATCAAGGTCTTTTCCAAGGAGTTTTCTCTTCTCATGAGATGGCCAAAGTATTGGAGCCTCAGCTTCAGGATCTGTCCTTCCAGGGAGCACTCAGGGTTGATTTCCTTCAAAATGGATACAGTAGGTTTGTTCTCCTTGCAGTCCAGGGGATTCTCAAGAGCCTCCTCCAGCACCACAATTCAAAAGCACCAATTCTTCAGCGCTCAACCTTCTTTATGGTCCAGCTCTCACTTCCATACATTGCTGGTGGAAAAAACCATAGCTTTGACTATGTGGACCTTTGTTGGCAAGGTGATGTTTCTGCTTTTTAAGATGCTGTCTAGGTTTGTCATTA